TGCTGGTGATCTTCACTTCTTGTGCTGTTTGTGTGATAAACATGTTTTTTTGTAGATAAGCTGATCTCTTGATTGAAGTGCAGTTGCTGTGACTGGCTCTGTACTATGCTGTAACATTCTGGTCTTGGCCCTCCTCCACTGTCAGACAAATGAGTATATTTTGCTTCAATCAGTTGGGATTATGGCCCTCATTTCTGTGTTGGAGGATGAGGGATGGAAAATGAGGGGAAAGAGGATGAATCAGGAGCAGGTGGTTGTGCCAGTGTCACATGGCCAGTTTGTTGACGCACGTGAATGGCGTTTTACGATGGTGACATTGGACGCTGTAGAGGATTTTACTGGGCAGGCTGTGCAGTCAAGATGTCAAATGTCAGTCATTTTTAATCATTACCAATGTTTTCTCAAGTCCTAATATCACACACTTCATCCAGTTTCAAACATGCTTGAATGCAAGTCATTGTTCTCTTTTCCTTTAAATATTATTTTGTATATTTATACATTTACATTTATGTACATTTTATTTTAATAATTTAATATCCAGGTGAAAGTAATTGTAACTCTATTTGGTGGAAGGATAAATATTACCTGTTGATAAAATGCATAGATGATCATTTTATTAACATGTTATTGTGCTTAAAACATGCATATATGATACAAAATCATATGATGCATGATATTTTCTTTCTTTTTGGAAACAGGAGTTTTTAAAGCATTCAGTGACCTTTTTAACTGTTTAACTGTTTGTCTGATTTTATATTTTGATTTTACATATTCTAATTGCATATTTTGAAGACGTTACAATTTTTATATTATTATATTATTAATGTATTATATTTTTAATATGTAGGGGTTTATCGTGTTTTTGCACACACACACACGCACACACACACACACACACACACACACACTTATTTATTTATTTCAGTATGTATGATGTGGTTTTGCTGTCTTACATTCTCCTTGTGAACCAGGCAGTAACAAATGAACAAATGTCTGAATTCACATATATTCTGTAACGTTACCATATTCTCTCTTACTTCGGTTCCATCAAGGCCCTTTTGAGATGTCAACTGATCTTTGTATTTTTCTTTGTCAGGTTGACAGAGTCATCAGGATCACTCACTGATGGACCAGTTAACTACAAGTACAAGACTAAATGCACTTGGCTGATTGAAGGATAGTGAGTACCACTATGTCAAGCTAATCTCACAGTCTTTGTTATTTATATGTATAATTTACCTTTTTTTTCCCCAAAGCAACTTACAAATTAGAATTAGAATAAAAAATTGTATTGATTTATTTCTGTGACATTAGTGGATATTAGGTTCAAATACATTTGTCTTATTATTAAAAAATAATATATTTTCTGCTTTTTATTTTAGCCCAAATGCTGTGCTCAGGTTAAGCTTCAACCATTTTGCCACAGAGTGCAGTTGGGATCACATGTATGTCTTTGATGGAGACTCAATATACGCACCTTTGGTAGCTGTGTTTAGGTAAGTGATTGTGGAATCAAAGTCATTAATACACACAAACTGACACAGCAGATGCAAACGTCAATTCATATCAAACAGAAATGCATTTTGTTGGCCTAAGGCAGTGCATATAATCTCATGAACAAAAGTATAACAAAATCATCAAATTCATAAAATTGAACAACTCCTTATGGTTAGTTCTATTAAATGAACAGTAAACTTTAACTTTAATCATGGTAAACATGGTCTGTGACTACAGTAAATGAAAAACAAGTTTAGTTTGTGGAAAAATTATACTATTCTGTGGCCATATTATTTTGACTTATTTTTTAAATAGTCATGTTTAACCATGGAATTACTGGTGACAAACTACAACAGTTTCATATTTTGCATCATCATTTCTGCATCATTTTAATTTGCGCAATTTGGCAGCCCACTTAATGGGATTGTAGTTCTTTCCCTCTTGCACCTTTGTATTTTTGTCCAGTTTTCAAATACATTTTCACAGCATAAAATTTGTAATGTTGTGATTCACCTCGTAGCTGGCTGGTTTGGTTCATGGTTCATAACGCTTTAGCAAAGACTTTTTTAGACTCCCTATATGGGAAAAATGAATAGGGAAAATACTTCCAGAACCAAGGTTGCTGAAAAAGTGGGTGGCACTGTTGCACTAGCTAATTTATGATGCTCCAGGTTACACAATGACCTTTGCTTGTTTGCTTGTTTTCCATTAGCTTGCAAGAAAAAATGTCACACTTTCAATAAAAATGACCAGTAGCAAGCATTCCTCAAGAACATCAAGTTACAGTCACATTAATAGTGAAAGCAGTCTGTTTTGCTTCACTCTATTTTCTCTCTCCTTTCTCTGTCTCTTTTTTCTTCCTCCTCTTAAATGTCATCTCTTATGCCTTTTTAATGGGATAGACCTTGTTTTCAGATGACTTGCTGGGTACTTTAGTGAGTGTGTTTGTGTGTTGGTGTGCAGAGTCTGGTCCATTGCATCTCTGTGGTTGTCCACTTTGTTGTGCTGAAGCACTGAATGTGAGCTTATTCTCTTCCTTATTAGTAAAATATTGGACAGTCAAGTGCATGCAGTAGAGATTTATCTTGCTCCTGATGCTGCTTGCTTAGCAACAGCTGTCCTCATGCTGAGTGGAACATGTGAACACAAAGGAAGGAAGTCTTTCCTGTCTGATTTGTGTGTCATAATCTTGCACGTCCAGTGGCCTGGTTGTCCCAGAAACAAAAGGAAATGAAACCATTCCTGAGGTGGTGACCACATCTGGATACGCATTGTTACACTTTTTCAGTGATGCTGCCTACAATCTTACAGGATTCAACATCTTTTATTTGTGAGTATCGTTATACAGTCACAATGCTTTCACACACACACACACATACATACATATATATATATATTTTTCCTGATCACTCTTCCCCTGCTGTGTTTTTCAGGATCAACTCCTGTCCTAATAACTGTTCAGGTCATGGAAGGTGTACAACGGGCAACTCCATCTCCAGCAGTGTTTACTGTGAGTGTGAGCGATACTGGAAAGGTGAGGCCTGTGATATTCCCTACTGTTGGGATGACTGTGGCAGTCCTGACCGCGGATACTGTGACCTCACCGGAGAAAAGCTCTGCGTCTGCAATGATAGCTGGCAAGGTGAGGGGCAAGTAATTGTTCAGATGTCTTTTATGTCTTTATGTCTCCCAAACGGTCATATTTTTTTTAATAATGTTAATGTTCTCATACACTACTGTTCAGTTACTGGCCAGTAAGATTTGTTTTGGAAGAATTTAATACTTTTATTCAGCAAGGATGCATTACATTGATCACAAGTGACATTCAAGACATTTATAATGTTGTGAAATAATTCTATTTCTAATAAAAGTTGTTCTTTATATTCATTGATGAATCCTACAAATGTATCACAATTTTTTTTTTTTTTACAAAAATATTACGCAGCACTACTGTTTAAAAAAATGATTAATAATAAAGGTTTCTTGAGCACCAAATGAGCATATTAGAATATTTTCTGAAGAATCATGTGACACTAAGACTGGAGTAATGATGCTGACAATTCAGCTTTGCCATCTCAGAAATAAATTACAAAATAAAAGAAGTCCAGGTAATTTAGATTGTAATATTTCATTGTGTAACTTACTTCTTTCAAAAACATAAACAGAAAATATTACAGACTCTTTCTAATTTTTTAAGGGTAGTACATTTGTGCATTTTCCCTATATACATTTTCCAAACTCCTTGTGACTGCAAACATGAAATATTCTTTAAAGCCACCTAAATAAACACCAGTAACAAAATCACAATGAGTCTTACGTTTTATGTCAGTAGTGCCACCTGCTGGTTATCAATGATATGTTGTTTAATTTTAATATGATGCAGCAGTGGCATAGCCAGAATTTTATTTTTGGGTGGGCCTTGTCAAAAGTGAGCGGGCACTAGGCTAACTGATGGACGGAGTCCAGCGTAGCGCAAATCCAGGGTCCCCAACCGCGAACTCAAGGGTGGGTGGGTTGGGGGGCGGGGGCTAGTTATACGCCGCAATATTGTAAATATTTGTTTTAAACCAGGAAGGCGAGCCAATGGATATCACATAAGCAACGTGCAAACTTTGCGCAAGAGTTATGCAGTGAACCTCTTAATCTCAGTCGATTCACTAGAAAGTGAAAGTAAATCTGACGGCGCTTTCGGAATCTGACCCTTTCATCAGAGTGGGCGGGGGCCTGTGCCTGTCAGGCCCCGTCCGCTGCCTACGCCCCTGTGATGCACGTTCAACATCTGGTGAAAATAGTAAAAATATAGCTATGAATATTAGTAATTACACATGTGTATATCATTGGAAATATAGATTTTATTTGTGTACAGTTTCAATTGTATTTGGTTACTGGACATATACATGTTTCGATATTTAAAGACCTCCTGTGGTGAAACTCACGTTTTTAACGTTGTTTACAATGTCTGTCTGGTGTTTTAATATGCTTAAAGAAAACCAATTCATCAGGCAACACCACTGCTGAGGATTTTCTCCTTAAAATTGAGGTGTACCAAAGAGAATTTCCAAAAAGGCATCTTGAAAACGTCGATCGTTTCCTATTGTTAACCAATCCCATCAACCTGCTGGGCGGGGCTTTTCATATCTGGTCATACGTTTCTGCTTACAACGTGTTTTTGCAGCGTTGAGCATTGTAGCCAATCGCAGACATACCTGTTGATTTTATTGACGCAACGGCCAATCAGAGAGGTTTAGGTAAGTCAGAATCCACTCACCGCTGAAAACGCCAGAGATTTGTTCAAGGCTGAATTCTGCACGGTCGCGAATATCTCTCGTTACAACAAACAAGGTGCAAATAAGATGTAAGTAGGATGATGTGAATAAGAGATTAATGGGGCAGTTTAGAGATTCAGAAGTGACAGCTTTTTATTCATATAGCTAAGGGGAGCGTTCTTTGCGCACTTTCTTGGCTGTAAATTAATCCATTCAGAATATATTTACTCACGGGTTCACTCTCAGATAACTTTATCTAGTATTGCCATTTGCCATTGTGTAGTGTTTACCGTTAGTACTTAAGTTAAATGAGTGGAAAAGTGGAGAAAGTTCGAGCTGGTGGGATTGAGTGGTGGCGGGGAATAACGTTAGTTAACATATTCATGGCTCCAGGTATGCTAAGTGAGGTAAGGTTGTAGTTAAATTCATGGCATAAAAACGTTATTTGCATGGGGAAAGCGTTTAAACATGTAATTTTGATGAACAAAGATGAGTTTTAAGAGATACAATTAGTGACTGCGGGGGATTTTAAAGTACTTGACTTATTTTTGGAGGTCTATTATTCAGATGCTAAAATGATTGTTTAATGTTGGGAAAAGGCTGCCCTCTCTGGCGTGATGTGGACTTGCAACCTTATTCTTCGTTTAGAGAGGGGCTTTACTAACCGCTAGATGGCAGTGCCGGATCATTTTTTAAATCAGTCATTCAGAAGTGTAGCTGCTTATCTGTAGTAATTCATGGATTATGTAACAACAACAAACAATTGTATTATTTTTTTGTTTACTGCTCCTTTTATTATTACCATTTTTATCACCATTTATTCTGGGATTTTTAACACATACACTTGTGATTAGGTTTCTGGGGTTTCATTTGTATCAGAGGTATTTGACTTGTTAACCATGTTATTGAGAATACATATCAAGTTGTTGACAGTTCTGGTCCATATCCCTCAGTGTTTGTTCAGTCTTACAGTTTTTTTCATCCGCTTACACACATTTTCAAAACTTTGCCTCTTTTTTTTTCAAAATTTTACACACAAATCCAAGAATTGCACACACAGAATGCAAAATGCCTCACATCTCTTGCAAAACGAAGCACTGCATTCAAAATATCACAAACATATTTAAAAAAGCACATTTCAAACACCTTTGCCATAATATTAATTCCTGTTAGATTTTTGTGTGTTACATAGAGAATTGTGTGTTGGGTTTTGCAAAAAGTGTTTTATGAAATGGAAAACTGAGTCAAAAGCTGAGAATTAGTGTATGGTTTTGCAGATTTGGTGGATGGTTCTGGTGTTTGTCAGGTTTCAGAAATTGTGTGACAAGTAAAGATTTAGAAAAAAACTGTAAACACACCTGATCCAGCTTTGTGTGTTGGAGCATGGTTTGTGTGTTGTGTGATCTTTGCTTGAAATCACAATCATGATGGACACCTAAACCAAGTTGGTCAAGCCAGGGTTGGAGGCAGGTTGAAGTCTTGATGGTGCTCTCTTATGCAAACTTTTCGAAGATACGACATCAAGTGATCTTATATGTAAAAGAGATGACAGATGAGGTAGGCTAGTTAACATAAATTAACTTGAATAGTCTTTAATATTCTGTACACCCAATATCAAGTACTCAAAACAAAGGATTTGATGTTTTATTGCCCTCATACCTGCACTGATTACAATAACATTGTATTGCAGGTGATATCAGTGCTACGTAAGATTCAACTGCTTATGCTACAGTGCTAATTTGTAATGGTGAGAGTGTGCAAATTAAGTATTATTTTCACATTTTCTTTAGCCAAAAATGGGAATTTTAGGCCACCAAACTAGTTGCCTATATCCTGATTCTGAAACCAGAATGAAAAGCACAAGCATTTTTATTTAAAAATGTTCATGGCCAAATTTTCTTTGTAGTTACTTCAGCCTAGCAAATGTGAAACGATTAGAACGTGATTCAAGGCAATAGTTATCTTGCGGTGTTTGACTTTCGAGGAAATGTGCTAGACATTCTGTGAGGCATTGCAAATGACAAAATTTAATCAAAAATGCTGGTACAATATACAATATCTGACTAGGTATATATTTAGCAATAAACTATATGTCCCTGTCAGGTGCAACATTTTAAGTCCAAAAATGGAACTTTTAGAAAAATGGAAGAAAAAAAGGTTAGCTCTTTTGGCACGTTCTGTAAAAACATCCTAAAATTACTTGCAAATCGCTTGTTGATACAGAAGCATACATCACTTAATCTCATTAAAAAATGCATTTCTCTACACTCTTAAAAATAAAGGTGCTTCACGATGCCATAGAAGAACCTTTTTGTCTAAATGGTTCCATAAAGAACCTTTAACATCTGAAGAACCTTTCTGTTTCACAAATGGTTCTTTGTGGTGAAAGAAGGTTCTTCAGATTATAAAAAGGTAAGAAAGAGATGGTTCTTTAAAGAACCTTTGACTGAATGGTTCTTTGTGGAACCAAAAATGGTTCTTCTATGGCATCGCTTGAAGAACCTTTTGAAGCACCTTTATTTTTAAGAGTGTATATTCAGTGACAGAATCGGGGACATAAAATGTAATGTTTAATTAGTTGTTGTAGTGTAGAAAATCAAGAAAAGAAAAAAATATATAGGCCTATATATAACAATAAAACACAATTCAAACCATTATTATTTAAACTTAAATTTTTAATTAGTAGTTGTACAGAATATATCTGACATTGTCATGATAAAAATACCACACTCAGCAACATCCCACTTTAAATGTGTCAAACTTAATGAGAAAAACCACATGATATCAGGTAAGACTTATTCTCCATTGTCGGTCAGAGAGGCCTTGCATCATACGTCTCTCTGAAAAAGCAGGTGGCCTAATCCTGAATTGCTCCCAAAGCCTCTAACATAAACTGAGAACATACAAAACACTGCATAGGATTAACCATCTGGGGCATTCTATTATTCATGTAGTCTTTTCATTTTTAGGGACCTCAAAATCCACACTCCAAAATTTGATATTTGTCAAATAAAATATTTTCCTCCAAGGACTGAACATGTAAACCTTGACTTGTCTAAGAAATCTAAACCTCTTTGCGTAACGCCACCCGTACACTGCTGAAGATTTTCCCTAGAGCTTCGAACAAGGGGTCACAGAAGGTATGGATGCAGAGAGAGTAGATTCGACTCAGGCACTGGGTCTCGATCAGATAGCTCTTAATGCAGGGCATGACAGCCCAAATGTGACAAAAGGAGATGCAGGCAAAACAGAAGCCCCACAGCAGCGCCACTGGGATGCCAAAGATGGCCGACAGCACACGGTAGCACCAGTACTTGGAGACGGTGAAGGTGGTGTAGCTGGCCTTCCACACTCCATCCATACTGTGGGTGCCATCTGGTTCGGCTATCACATCCTCAAAATCCACCTTGATTTATTGGAGGAAAAAAGACATGGTGACATTTGCTGGTTAGTACAAATTTCCACAAACCACCCTGTTAAAAAAGTCAGCATATGCTAGTTAGGTATGTTCTGAAGCATGGCAGCTGGTTTGAGCTGGTTTAAGCTGGTCATGTGCTGGTCCTGGTTGAGCAACTAGCTCCTGCGCAGGACCAGCTCATGACCTATTAAGGACCAGCTTAAACCAGCTCAACCAGCTGCCATGCTTGTGTTGGTTTTTCAACAGGGCAGGGAGTTGTTGCCAAAACCTGCTTAGTATATTGTGCAATCAATAGTCAGTGTCAGTGATTTGGCAAGCATGTGGTATGGGTTCTCTTCTGCTTGTACTCCTAAAATGGATGATGATTAATTCTCCAAACAGCGACATTTGATATCAAAATTCCCCATCAGTAGAAGTCAGTCTGGCACCTTGTTTATTTTTGCTTCAATCTCATAACAACTAGAGAGGAAGTATTTCAGAAAGTTATTTCAAATCTTTATGTAACATCTATATAAGTGCTGAAATAAAAATCTGATCTTTGGTAAATATGCAAAATGTAGTTAAGACAAGCTACATTGACAACATTTGAAATTAAACCCATTTTCTTGAATAAAACAGAGATGATTGGAAATCTAAAATTACAAAAATAAAATAAAATCATATAAAAAAAATACAAATAAATAAATAAATATGAAATTAATACTTTTATTCAGCAGTGATGCATTAAGAAAAAGTGACAGTAAATACTTTAAAATTGTTACAAACAATTCTGAAAAGAGATTAGGCTTGTTTGAGATGAGCAAAATCTGCGCAGAACCGAT